GGGAGGGTTTTTCCCCCCCCGGGGAAAGGGGAAGGGGATCCCCCGGGGTCCTTTGGGGAGCAAACCAGGGGCCATGTTAAGAAAAGTTCCCTGGGCCAACCCTTACAAGAAGATTTTTGGGCCCCAAAAAGCTGGGAATGGGGGGGGGGGGGGGGGGGGGTGCTCATAGTCGTGCATGCCGTAGTCGTTTGACCATTGACCTCGCATCCCTACAAAGCCGGGACGGAGCACGCCGGGTTCTCACCGGACCAGGCTCTCACATCACCAAGCGCGAAGCGCCGTGAGGTATTTGGCGAGTCGCATGAAGGGTGAGCTGCATCCTGCTAAGGGTGTTCGGCATCTTGTGCTTACTTCCTTGCGTACGGATGTCAGCTACGTATGACTTAATTTATTTTCTGGTGCTTTCACTTCCAGAGACAGTTGTAAGCGCTGTGTAACTGCCTCGAGGAAGCTTGACCATTTTAACACAACGAGGTGCGATCATCCCCCGTTGCGCGGAGTGAGGTTTTTCGACCCCGCACAACATGATCTACTCGACCACCATTATGGTTACCGCAAAAAAAAAAACCGAGGTAAAAAAAAAAAAACGGTAACCTGGTTGCCGAGTTCACGAAGTGAATTGGCTTGTTTTACAACGTCGTTGCCAAGCGACGAAAACCCAAACCCCGATGGCAAACACCGGGGGGGGCGGCTTGTTTTACAACGTCGTTGCCAAGCGACGAAAACCCAAACCCCGATGGCAAACACCGGGGGGGGCGGCTTGTTTTACAACGTCGTTGCCAAGCGACGAAAACCCAACCCCGATGGCAAACACCGGGGGGGGGGCTTGGCATAGGGGGGGGAAACAAAAACTAAATCGGGCCTCCCTGTGGTCCGTTCGTCATCCCCAAAACTCTGCAGCATGGCATATATCTTCAGTCCGAGTCTGGGTGTCGTAACTATCAATAACAGTCTTCGCTCTCAACGTGTGCCCGCAAACCAAAATCAACAGACCCTCGGACAGCGCAATTCGAATACAAAATGCTAGACAGTCTTGCCGCAGGACCGGCTGCAGTCCCGCCAAACATATCTAACCACACCAATGAATATCCACAGAGTGTGCGAAGCGAATATGCCACACACCAGGTTCTGCCGTTGGGCATTGGCGAGACGCACGCTCCCTCAGCACACCTCAACGACACTGCATCTGCACTGAACAAACATGAGCAAACCCACCTCCCACGTTTCCGGGTTCGCCGGTACGACATCTAGGTGACTTCCCAGGAAGGTTACCGTTTTGTCCCCAGTGCCTGCGTCGTCACGTATGCGAGGGTTTCGAGGGGTTTGCCCAGAACGCGCAGGCACGGGAGGGCGGGGACGGAAGACGGGCAGTACCAGTTACAGCAGGAAAAAAAATGCCGTTACAGACGCAGGGACTTACGGTGATCCAACGTCGTTTCGTATGCATGCAACATACTCTTGTTGATTGGCAGGAGAAGCGTCTCTCCCATGAACAACTACTTTCGATATTAATGTTCCTCAGATGATGGCTTGCCTGGGTATTTGATGATGACGTTCCCGCGCCCCGGCGTGAAGTGGACCCGCTCCACCTCCAGCGGGCCACCGTTCTCAGTGGTGTAGGGCTTCAAGAGCTCTAGCACATGGTCGCTGGCATTGTCCTCTTTCGGGACCATGTTCTGGGAGGCCGTGGGGGTGTGCGGGCGATCGGATCGACGATCGGACGGAAATAGACATCATCGCAACCGCACATCCGTCCGCAGGAACAGGGAACCGTTACTGTTCGTAGTTTTCAGGCAGCAGCTCGAGAACACAGGCAGTGTAGACTGTATAGAGCAAGTGTCCGTTGTCGTTCCTGTTGGGCGGGAGTAATCTGTAATCTACAACAGAACCCTTTACAGTAGCTGCAAGGTCTCGTTGCTCCCGCGAAAGCTACCGTAATTGTGGAGAGCATAGGGCCCTCGTGCGGTGGCACCGGAAATTGCTCTTCGAAAGGCAACCTCTGGTGGCTTCGCACACATTCAGAGGTTCAGAGGGGCACTGCTGCTGTCGTTCTGGCTGTAGATTCGTAGATTCTGTAGATGACCGAAGAGGTTCAACGTTCAACTCGAACCATCCGATGAACGGATACAAGATACAAATGCAACGCCGTACTACACTACTGTACAGTATGTAGACTACTGCTGTCTTGGTCGCTCATAACAGCAGTAAACTGTTAGGTTGCAGAGCAGATCCAGAGGCGGCAGTTTCTCGAACAACCGACATGTGCACAACAAGTACGGGTGTAGACTATAGCAGAACATCGACGAGAGCTAATATATTGCTGTTCTCGAGATTGTGCGACGATCCGTGACCAGCAGACGCGTTCTACGGCGGAACATACCTGGGAAGGGTTGTTTTGGAGCGTTGCCACATTGTCGATCAACTTGGTCAGCAGCCCTACGAAGCGCCCTTCGTCGATCTGAACAGTAGAAAGCAGCTCCTGCACTTCTCCGGCCGACATGCTCGACATTGTTTATTTGTTTGTGCCTTTGTGCCGATGGCCGCAACCTGCTGCTTATTAGGAGCCAAGCAGTCCGGGAGCGTGGCGGGTGCGGCTCCGTCGAGCGATGAATCCGCGGGGCCGCTCACGGAACTGTGACAGGCCGCGTTCGCCACCGGCGCATTTCCCCACAACCAACAGGAGCATGGAAGAGAAAAGGCCGGAGATCTTTGGGGTGGATGGGGTCGACGAGTTCTTCGGTGATGATGTGGAAGAGGAACGAGAGCAATCCCGCGACATGGCCGACAGGTGGATCATGTTTTGTGTTTGAACTTTTGAAAATGCCCCGAACAACCAAGCCGATGAGCACCTCGCTTGAAGCTAAATGAGTCTACCTTTACAGCGGGGACGCTCTATCGTACGCATGCCCCTACGCGCTGCCTCGGATGCAGTTGTCCCTGTAGCCCATAAAATGATATCCGCTTTTGAGCACTCCTGATGGTAGACCATTCATTGGCTTATTTATGCCATCCCACAAGAGGCAACACGTGGACGCTTAGCTGGATGCTGGATGCCCTTGCTGGAGGTGCGGTACAAACAAGCATACAGCCGTAGCTGCTTTTGCGACCTCGGCGGCGGTTGTTGTGAAGGGCCATGGTGGCTGTTTACCAGCAGCGCACCTTCTCTGTATGGTGTTGCTGGCGTTTGTGGTGAGGCAGATGGAACCCTTGTCTCGCAACTTCTAAAACTTTGGTATCGACAGCCGTACTTCGGTGACATGAGATATCACACCCCCTTTGATCAATACTTGTACTCACAGCTCAATGTTAGCCCACGACGACGAGGATGTACAAGCCAAACGTACGTTTTCGGAAAGCCATCGACCAGACGGTCCCAATGCCGCAACTATCGGCGCCGCCACTGTTTCTGCTGTGGAATAGTCGAGCTTTGAAAACATGTCCAGGGGGTGTGATATCTTATGTCACCTCGGTAGTAGTCAGTCCATTGCAATCTTGGCATACCCCCCCGGGACGGATATAACGGTAAAATTTTAACCATACGTGAATAATTCACACACAACACCCTTTGTGCTCGCAGTCCCCTTTTCCGGTACCTCCCTCCTTCTCTCTGTGCAAGTCTGTACCTCGCAGTTTCGGTGTGTGTCTCTCTCTCTCCCTCCTCTCCCTCTCCCCTCTATGCCTCTGTCGCTGTCCCTCTCTTATGTCTCCCCTGCCAACTGCACGTTTCAAGCGCTCAAGCGTGAGCGCTAACCAACCTCATCATCGATCCATCCCCTGGTCTGTCAAACCGCGTTCGTTCGATTCCGCAGAGAACTAGCGGCACTCCAAGCCCGCCTCACCACCCTCGGCTACCAGGACGGCGTGGATGACGGCGTGCAGGAGTCCGTACAGGAGGGTTTCGACCAGGGTTACGCGGTGGGGGCGGCCGCGGGGTGGGAGGTCGGGTCGCTGTACGGCGCAGCCGCCGCTGCGGAAGCAGCCCTCAAGCAGGCCGCTCGCGGGGGGCAATCCACGGAGAAGGACGCGGGGACGGTAGGAGGGCTACGACTCGAAACGGCGGCAGGAAGTAGCACGTCTGGAGCTGCGTTGAGTGCAGCACCCCTAGGATCTACGGGTGCTAGTGAGATTGCCGGAGGGGGGGGGAATAGTAGCAGCAGTGGTGGTGCCGTATCGCAACCAGTAGAGGGCTATAGAAATACTAAGACTTCCCCAGCCGCGGGAACGGCGGAGGATTTGCAGCGGTTGGTGGGGGAGCTTCGACGGGCAAGTCTGTTGGGACCGGATGGACCGGGTGTGCCCGACAGGGCGGAAGTCCTACGGAGACTTCGACTCGTCGGCCCCGCGGGAGTAGCTGTTGCTGATGGCTTGGACGAGTAGATAGAATATTGAAGCAGCCGGTGTTCATGTGAAGGAGTTTAACGTTTACCGTTCGAAGATTTTTCCCGGTGTATGTACAAAGGTTTCGCGGCTTCATGTGGCGTTGTTTGCCATAGGCTAAGCTTGGCAGTTTGTACTGTCGATACCCAAGCTTTCCAATAGTAGTGTTGCCGGCAGAGGTCGTACTCGCACTAGAACGAGACCTCCAATCATTTTTACTTTGGCGATTCCAAGCACCCACTTTTCCGGAGAGGTATTGAGGCCTCTTGGCACGACGTTTCGTGATGCCCTGCTTCTGTACAGACCCTACTACCTCTCGTCGCGAAGTCAACGCGAACTGTTGAGTGCACCGTGATCATCCGTGCAGTGTGCGTTGCGTAGCATAGACTTCGCCGAGGTTACGCAACTACACTACACTAACGAAACTTCCACCCGGAAAAGTCCTGGATAAGCCAACCGACCGATAAGACGTGAACGAGCTTCTCAAGTGAGGTGGTACGTCTTTGTTCCCGTGTCTGAACAGTTTGGCTTGTACGAAAATGAGAGGCGACAGACCTCTCGCAATTGAGATGATGCGTCCTTTTCACAGTGCCTGGGCATGTCGGCTTATTCATGCGTGGGAATCATAACCCGAGCTTTGGTGGAAGGGTTGCATCTGCCACCATCTCGTTTACGAGAGACCCGAGTACTGAGTACCTCCATGGCAGGCAACAGTAGCAGCGTCAGACTCGACATGACGCACACGACGTACTACTGTAGAAGCATCATTACGCAGGGATAGTTGTACATTTATTGCACCCGCCGCTGAACATTGACGCAACGAAGATGCCGCGGCTGCTCTTGCTATTTCTGTGGCATGTCGGTCTACGTTCTATTTTCCCCCGCCCAAGACAACGGCAGAAACTGGTCCATTTCCTTGTACCCTCCATCCTGCAGCAAACAAAAGAGATCACGCAACGTAAACCCGATCAACATTTCCAACAGTCCTGCCCTGTAGAGGGAGCGGGGCGACGGCCGATATCCGAGTCACTCACGTTCCAAAATCTAGCCCAAGACAACGCTACTTGGGGCTGCTGATACCGGGCATGCCCAGTAGTACGATACGCGATAACAAGGTGGCCAAAGCAGGTCAATTTGCGTTGAGATGTCCAAAAAAACAACCAACAGATCCACAACGGTCGGTGACAATTACAAAACCAACTTCTAGGGAATCATGCCAACCAAGACTAGTCCCCTCTTTCCCAAGCATCATAGTATCATAATGGAACTCCCGACTGCTCGATGGCGTGTTTCGGCACCAGGTAAGACGTCCAATCCGCCGCGGTTACAGGCAACAGTCCCATCTTGGCCATCTTCCAAAGAGCGACACATACTCCCCCAAAGTTGACGGCGCAAAATATGAGCTTCGGCAAGAGCAGGGAAATCTTGCCATCGTCGACTGTTCGGAAGACTGCATACGTTTGCGGGGCGGGCGGGCGGGGCGATGACATCGCGGGTTGAGCGGGTGCGTAAGCGGTGGATACCGCAGGGATGGTGCGTGGTGTTGTAAATGATGGTATCCCTAAAACTAGCAGAAAATGCCGTGCAAGCCACACGCGACTTCTTCGACAAGGGCGTGAGAGTGACAAGTGCGCGAAGCTAAAAAATTGTGACGGCGGTAGAAGACTTGCTACAGGAAGAAAAACACTAAAACACAAACAGGGCTTGGTTTCGGACACATGAGGTGAAACCACAGCCTTCCTGTTACTCAATATCGGAAGTTTGCTGCGGTTTGTTTACTGCTGGTCGGCTCTCATCTCACTCACCACTGTGAACGCTGAGGATCGCCTTAGCGGGATTCATGATCCCCATGAAGGTAATCATGATGCTGAAGATGTGAATGCCAGCCCCCGACATGTACATCATGAAACCGTTCATCAAGATACTTTTCCCCGGCCCTAGCGCGATCTCCATCGCCCTCTGTTTTGGTGGTCGACGGGAAAGCAGGAGTAACATGGCGGGTGGGTGGGCACAATCAAGGACACGCGTGCAAGGAGACGCGGAGGGGGTAGCATAAGGTTTAACAAACTTTACTGTTCTTCGAGAGAAGCATATTTTTTATCATGCCGCCGAGGCACGTGTGCCTCAAGGTAAGGCTGACTATCGACCCTCACTTCTGGTGGCACTGCTTTAAGTTTTCTCTGATAATCTTATCCCACGTTCGCTCACCTTCTTTTTCAAGTTCTCCTGTGCCAGTGCGCTCGGCCCGGTGGCGTCATCATCCTGATTGATGCAAGAAAGTACCAATACGATAGCGACACGGGGGGGGGGAAGGAGTTCGACGGACTTCGTCAACATTGGGGTGTGATCCTCCCAAAACGTTGTTGTTGCGTTAGTCAAACCGGTGCTGATGCCACGATCGCTACAGTCCCCTCGAGGAGCATGTTTCATCCACGGCCGAGCTTCTTGTCACGTACAGGTGCGGTACAGCAGTACAGTAGTTTCCAGCTTCGTGCCCAGTACATCTGTAACAGAAAAAGGAAGAGGCCTACGACGCCATTACATTATCCGATGGGTTAGGCTCCGGGCTCAGACACAAAGATATTGTAGTGTCGGTGGGTGCGGCTAGGGTCTTGAAAAGGTGCTGGGTTCTTTCAAGGTCGCCCGCCGCGTGCGCGGCCGTACCGCGACCCACGGGCGAAGGATTCGTGTCTTACCGTCGCCCTTGGAGGAAGCGCGTGCGGAGCAATTGCGCATTCTCGTTGAATTGAACCGCCAAGCATCACGGGGCGTAAAGGGACAAGGCCCCGTTGGTCCACTACACGGCTCTTGCCGCATATGCACCCCACACAAACACCCATTAGCTTTGTTCGATAACAGATTTGTAGTCTGTACAGGAGTCTATTCGGTACTCCTGTAACGTGCGGGTGTTCGCTGGGTGGAGTGGGAGATGCATCACATCACCGACAAGGTGTACGCTGCTGTATTTTCGTATTTCCCAGCGATTGACTGTTATTGGTTCAGTTTTCGCCCTGATGCGAAGCCAGTAGACCTAGTGTGGGCTCGCCTCCTCTGTGTTGTCCACTGGCTTCCTGGTGTGTGTGCAGTGTGCACCTTGCAGGTCTCTTGGGCGAAGACAAACCAGCAACCCATCCGGCACCGGCAGGAACAAGTGCGGTTCCCTCCCGGCTTCCTCTTGTCCGTTACTCGTAGTTGCAGTTCCATCAACATATCTACACAGAAGTGACACACAGTACAGCTTCAACAGTGTATCCTGATCGATGGTCCGTGAGTCTGCTGCACAACACGGGCGTGCGGTGGCTTGGTTCACAGCACACCGGATGATGAGCGTTTTTGATACCGACAGAAGCCCTAGAGGAACTCACGTCAATTAATGCTCCCGGATTGAATCCCAGAGGTCTAGCCAATGATTTTGGGGCCTCTCCTGGCCCAGGGTTGAGGTCGAAGCGCCATGTTCGTTCGGGAGGTGCCATGGTTCAGCTAAGAGGTGGGTGGGCGGCGGTGCTGTGCTGTGTGTGTCCGGAGACAGACCACGAGACAGCATGGGGGGTTCTTACGCCGTACGATGATGGTACCCGACCAGATGCCGTATCCAATCTGCGTACCCCCTCCAGATCGTCTTTGAGGCAATTGAGGCCCCTTGCCCCCACACATACATCTGAGCAGCTAAGGAATTCGTCCTTCTCCACGCGTGCGTCAACCACACACACATCTTCCTCCTCCTCTGTTTTTCGCAAGGGTCCGTTTTCACTCTGCGAGAAAAAAGAAAGTGAGGTGTAACTGCTGTAGGCTGTACCTCTCCGCCCGGCTTGTTTGGAGACGCCCCCGCTGTGACGAAGAGAGAGAGAGAGAACGAGAGAGAGAGAGAGAGAGAGAGAGAGAGAAAAGGAGAGGGCGTGCTGGGGCTTATTCAGCGCACACCATGGACGATGTGTTCGGGTCGGACTCCTCCGCCAACGAGTTTGACCCCGCAGAAGAAGCCGACAATAACAACAACGAGGATGCGCCCAGCGGGGGTGCTGGCGCTCTGGACTCCGATGGCGATGACGATGAGGGTATGACCAGCAACAAGCCGGGCGCGTCGCCCACGGACGTGGGAGCCGCCTTGGGAGGGACAGGCCTTAGTGACAGCGAGGACGATAATGATGAGGCCTTCCCAGCGGATGCCGATGCGGAGAAGCTGGCAATGGATGCCGATGTGTTCGGGTCGGACAGCGAGGAGGAGGTCGCGCCGCCGCCAGAGGGAGGAGCCGAGAACGATGACACGGCGGTGGCAGACGTCGATCCTTTCGAGGAAAGCGACGACGAGGAGGGTGGGTCAGGGGGCAAAACCCTCGGCAAGACCGGAGGCGACCGGTTGAGCAAGGGGGATAGCTCCGGTAAAGGTAAAGGAAAGGGCAAGAAGCGCAAGGCTGGTGCCGAGGGTTCCAGCAAGTCGAAGCGCAAGAAGGGGACGGACGGGGAAGGGGAAGGGGACAAGCCCACCAAGAAGAAGAAGAAGAAGAAAAAGAAGAAGAAGGACGGCGACGTTGAGGAAGGGGTGGAGGGTGGCAGTAGTAAGAAGACGACCAAGAAGAAGAAGGGCAAGAAAAAGAAGTCCAAGAAGGCTAAGACGACAAGCGTCGAGAGCTCGACCCTGCAAGACCTTGGGCTGGAGTCCTCGGCGGACGAAGCGGCACAAGACCAAGACGATGACGATGGCGATGACGACTTGAGCGACGCCGAGGTAGAGCACGAGGACGAGGAGGATGAGGGGCTAGGTGGCGATGGTGGTGAGGAGGTGGTGAGGGCACCGAACAAGCGGACGAGGGAGGACGATGATTTCATCGACGACGCGGTGGGTGCGGTAACTAAATTAAGCGAAAATCCCAATGCTGTTCGTTGAAGCATGCATATCTATATGCGCCCTGCTTTTCCGTAGTTTATGGCACCAGATACCGCATCATTTTTCGTACAAAATGTTGTTGCCGCAACGATAGTCTAGGTTCGTTTCACGCGTCCTTGCAGAAAATATCGCGATTGGGAGAGGAAGTTACTGGTTAGCTAGTTGGGCCATTTAGAAGGGTGTTCAGAAGTGGTTTCCTGTGCTAAGAGTAGCCGTAATCGTGTTCGGCAGTTTCTCGACAATTTTTTCCAAGTACATACCGTTGGAGAATAGGGGGTATGTAGAAGCCGATGGTTTCTGTTGTACGGGCAGGGTTCACACAAGGGGATGGGGTGGGGTTCATACTTTGCCGCCACATAGCATACATCAATCTTGGGCCGCCCTGCTGGCAGTATCCGCACGAAACTTTGCGCTAATTTGGGTCGCTAACAACACCCATTTAGAGCCAAGCAGCTGGAGCATTCGCAAAAAAAAGCTGTTTTTTAGCGCGGTTGCTGCCGTGGAATGACGACCTCGCCGGCGGGTGGTGTGATGTCATGTTGGGATGATCCCAACTGGGGTACGGTACGGAAGCCTGCCGGCAAGTTGTGTCGTGGATAGGGTAACGGCGATTCGGCGTAACCGCGCCAGGTGGAAGTTTTTGTTGGATGCGCATTTTGTCTGATCTTTCCACACACAGCCGCCCCAGCCCGGGGGTGACGCCAGATAAAAACATGCAGCGGGGGTGGGTGCCTCGCAGACCCTAGAAACACCCGTCATGTAAGCCACACAATAACCCGCTATCCCACGGTACCACAACCCATGGAAACTCACCGTACCATCCGTTTTGGCGTGGCTACCAATACCTTTGATCACGTGACACGGTTTGCTTTATAGGCTTGAATTTGAGGGAGCCCCCCCCCCCCGTGTTCTTAGGACGACAACGCAGACCTGCTAAACGAGTACAAGCAGGACGAGCCGGAAGGGGGAGACCACAGCGAGGCGGAGGAGGACAACAACCCAGAGAACTTCCACGATGCCCCTAAGAAGGAGAGTGCCATGACCGCGGTGAGTTAAGAGTATCATGCATAGCACCGTGCAGAAGCAGCAGCAGTTGCAGCAGCGGCACGCCTGCTGTGGTCGTTGAAAGCGTGCGAAACGATTACGGGGATGTGACTTGCACGGACAAAGGCAAGCCTTGATGGCGATTCGTTTGTAGATGGTGTGCCAGCATCGACACAGAATGCACAAGTACGTGGTGGACACATGCACATGCACAAAGCTTGTAAGGTCGCCCGCTGTGTCCTTTTCTCATGCCCCTACAATTCCAACACCGTGGGCGTCATGGATGCTATGACTATGACTTCCGACTTGGCCCCCAAGGTCCTGGCATCCATGAAGAAGCGCAAGGCTCAGGACCTGAGCACGGCTGAGCGCGAGCAGATCGCCCAGGAGTTCATGTTCAAGATCAACCAGGCTGCGGAAGACGACGAGGAGGCAGTGCAGAACGGACGCCCGGCGATCTACAAGATCAAGATGATCAGGGTGTGACTGACTCACTAGAGTACCGCTTTAGTTCTGCTGCTGCTGTAGGCTTGGTTGTTCTGTTCTGCGTCGGGATGCTTGCTAGCTCAAGCTCGGGGATAAGGATAGGTTGACTGCCTGCCTCTGCTGCTGCGAGGTTATGTATTGCCCTTCGGGTCGCAAAGGTGTTGTGCCAAAGCCCCCGTTTGGTGCGTTTTAATGGCCAAGGTACCAAGCAAACTTTGTTTCCAGGGCAATCACTATTTTAATCATGCCCTTGGTACTAGGTGTTCCGATGTCTCGACTTTTGGTTGCCGGCATTTTCTGTTATTTTGTTGTTTCCGCGTGACAAATGGTACTTTTTTGGTGTCAACAACATGCGAACTGTCCCTCGGGGTGAAGTCCGTCCTTCAAAGGACTAGCCCGACACCTCACGGCCTCTCGCGCCTTTCGCAATTTCCACTTCCCACTGGCCGTCGCAAACCCGACGTTCTTCTTCTGTCTCTTTTACTCTTGTTGAAATGCAAGCGTGTACGGTGTGAAGAGTTTCAGCCGAGCAGAACGTCCAGCCCGCATGCACACTCCACTACACGTTCGCACAGAAAGTGTTGACACTACGTCGCCGTGTGCCTGGCGCGCTCGCCTCCATGCTGTCTGCTGCTCACGCCGTCTCGGGTGCTGCGTGGCGCTGTACTTGCTGCTTGCTGCTTGCTGCTTGCGGCTGCCTGGGTAGGTTGTGAAGGCGACGTTGGCGAAGAAAGAGCTGCAGGAGACCTTCCTCGAGTTCGACCTTCTCGGCGTCCTGAAGCGCTGGCTGCAGGTTAGGAGATCGAAACAGACACCTCCACTACCGTAATGCCTAACGATAACCCTCGACCCTTTGTAAGTACCTCTGCCAAGCTAGGCCAAGCTAAGCGGTAGGCTCTGTTCTGGATGGTGACGTGGCGTGTTGGTGAGGGCGTGTGTGTGCACGTGGTTCTTGGTGATGGCAACAGCAACCAAGTGCGGGCGAGAAACAACCTGTGACGGTGTGGGTACGGTAGCAACGGATCACAGGGGGAGGGTTAATCTCTTGCTCTGATTCCTAGAGGTTTGTACCGCTGCTGCTGCGAAGCGGCATCACTCTCGAAATTGTCTAGCAGTAGTGCTGGTGCTATTTCAGGTGATTCATGAGCGAAATTGGTCAGCCAAAACCGCATGGGTAGGGTCGTTTGCTTGCATTTCACAGCGCCTGTCTCTCGAGGATAAAGCAAGACCTAGGCCGGCCACTGTGACAGCGGCAACGACGAAAATGTGTACGGAAGAAGATTGAACGAGCGTGCGTGATCTCCGTGATCTCCGATGCGAGAGTGGCAAGTGTACGACATTCGCAGCCGCAGTAGCAGCAGCAGCAAAGCCCGTGCGCCCACGGACTTTCGGCGATACCATGTGGATACATCGACCGCGCCCCCCCTCGCCCCAACCCAGATGTTGAATAGCTTCACCCAACGAGTCCCTGTGACGCTCCCCCATTATCTTCTAAGCCCCTTCGCGCACGCAATGCCACGCGTTCCCTGCCGCCGCCGCCGCCCCTCCTGTGATGCTGTGGATGACATGGATGATAAAAGCCCTACTCCAATGGCCAGCTGCCCAACCTCACCGTCAGGACGGACATCCTCAAGTTGATAGAAAACCTACCGGTACAGGTGGACCACCTGAAGCGAAGCGGAATCGGGAAGGTGGTGATGGGGTTGCTCAACTGCAGGGAGGTGGGTGAAAGGTGGATTTGATTGTGAGGATGCCAGTGGTGTGTTGGCCTGATTTTTTCTCTCGGCTCGAGCTCCGCGTCTTTCGTCTGCCAAGAGTATCTGCTCCACGTGTGTGTGCTGTCTTGTCCTCTGTATTGGCTTGAATGTCCCCTCTCTTTCGTCTAGGTTCAGCGTAGCCATTTATTAGTATGCGCAATGCCACCTTCTCTCTGGTCCATGCCTGTGGGGCTATCTTTCCCCGTTTTTATGCTTGCTCGTTGTGGACGACCGTACGCTACTTGGCTACCCGACACACGTACGTGACCAGGACCGTGCAATCACACTGCAATACAAACTGCGCTGAAGGCGGCGGTTGCACGCATTCACATAACCTCTGATTTGCGGCCACTGCTATGAGCTTGAAGCGTTCACAATCCATGTCCTACTTGTATTGTAGCTCACCGAACTCGATGTAAAGGCTCGTTTCGAAAATCGTGGACCGCAGATCAAGGTAATCTCTGTATCACAAGGGCTAAAGCTACCCAGCGTACACTTTTCAGCAGCCCGACGCGCGCGCGTTTCAGTTTCACCCTCGACTCCCTCCTCAACCACCACCTCCCACCTCCCCCCCCAACAACAGCCCAGCACGACCTCCTCTCCCCCTGGCATGCCCCGGAACAAAATACGTAAAACACAATATATGTGGTGTCGCTTTCCCTCCCCCCCACCCGCGTTATCATCGCCACGCGTCGCAGGAGACGACCGAAAACAAGCGCCGCCTCCGGCAGCTAGTGAGCAAATGGAACCGGCCCGTGTACGAGAAGGAGACTAACTACCGCGCCCGCCGCCCGGCGCAAGATGACCTCGAGGCCATGGAGGTCCCGACTAGGGGCGGCGGGGGTGCCGCCGGTAGTGGCGGGAGGCGGCGAGTGGTCCACGGTAGCATGAGGCGCGACGGAGCCAGCAAGGACGAGGCTGTAGGGAACATTCTCAACGCCAGGGCGCGGGGGCTGGACCCGACAAAGGCTCGCGTGCCGTTCTCCAACGGGTACGCTTTCTCAAAGGCGCCGAGGTCGAGGGTCGAGGGACACGGCCGGGCACCGGCCCAGCAGGTTTGTGTTTATGGGGTGGATTTACCAGAGGGAGGGGCGGTTTTTATCCGTAAGGAGGAACTGCTGTATTGCATGGTACTTTCTCGTCATGATGTTCATGTGCGTACCTACAGCAGTAGGAGGGTGAAGATATTGAAGGGGGTCAAATTGTTCATGTAAGAGATGGCAACATATGGTGTTCTGTGGTATACGCGAACGCAAAGCTCGTTGTACAAAGAAGCCGGTGTTGATGGAATGGCCGGGGTGTGTGGGGGGTTGAATCTACAGCCCTGCGGGAAGGGAACGCGCATCTGGAGCTGATGGCCAAACAACAGAATGTCATCAGCATGTCGCTTCTGTTGATGTGCTTTGACTGGTGTGTGATGACATGTTTAGTCCTTGTGCGATATCCCTCCCCCCCTCAATGGTCAAATGACTACGGCAAGCAACAAATGAGTACGCCCCCCCCCCCCCCCCCCCAGCCCAGCCACACCAAAAAAG